GGGCCGGGGCTGCCGGTAAGTTGGCGGCGCGGTGGCGGCGGCCCCGGGGGAGCGGGCGCCGCGCGCGCTCCCATTGGCCGCCCCGCCGTCAGCTGCTCCTATTTTCTGCTGTCGCTTTTGGCGCTCGGCCATCCAGAAACAAACCACTTCGATGACTCCTAATAGTTATCGCCAGATGTACTAATACACAACAAATCACGGTCCGGGAAAGGGGGAGAGCAAATGAGTTCCTATTTTGTGAATCCCACTTTCCCGGGGAGCCTGCCCGGGGGCCAGGACTCCTTCCTCGGGCAGATCCCCCTGTACCCGGCGGGCTATGATGCTCTCAGGCATTTTCCGGCTTCGTACGGGGCAAGCAGCCTGCAGGACAAGACTTACACCTCACCTTGTTTCTACCAACAGTCCAACACCGTCATTGCTTGCAGTCGGGCTTCCTATGAGTACGGAGCCTCTTGTTTTTATTCGGACAAGGACATTAGTAGCGCCTCTCCTTCCGGCAGTGGCAAACAGAGGGGGCCCGGGGACTACCTGCACTTTTCTCCCGATCAACAGTACAAAACCAGCGGCGGCCAAGCCAAAATTATAAATGACGAAGGCACCGACCGGAAGTACACGAGCCCTGTTTACCCCTGGATGCAGCGGATGAACTCCTGCGCTGGTAAGGCATCTCGGTGCAGTCAAGGGCGGAGAGGGGAGGAAAAGGAAAAGGGGGGGGGGGGGGGAAAAAAAAAAAATTTTTTTTTTTTTTTTTTTTTTTTTTTTCCTAGATAAAGTCCAGATTGCTGGAGAAACATGATTCCTGCAAGGCAATATGTAACATGAAACCTTCGCAGGTTTAGACCTGGCACGTTGGCACCCAGGGAATGGTGGCCAAGATCCCAGTATGTAGGTTTACTGGTGAAAGTTACAGGGGAATCCTTAGAAAGTAGGGGGGAAAAAAATTAAAAAGGAACAAAGCACTTTTATCACTCTCTTAAAGCCATCCCAAAGCCTCTGCTCTGCTTCTTCATTGTCAGAGAGCGATGCATGGAATATGCCCTCTGTAGTGAGGATCCAAAGCATTTGTGGTACATTCCTCCTCGCCCCCCTCCCCCAGCTCATTAGCCTGTGAGTATTGGATATTGAGAGCACGTTTCTGGGGCCGTGGGCGCACTTCCATGGCATCGCGAATTTTTCCAGACTTAGGAGTGAACTTCACATAATTGAACTATTCTGTACAGGAGTGGTGCTGGGGGAATGGCGGGTGGGGGTGGAGTGGGAGGGTTGTACTGAGGTGACATTTATTTTTTACAATCCCAAATTTAAACGTTTACTTCTAGTGTTTGCTAATGACTGGCCTTTTCTCCCATCCTCCCGAGTTTATGTTTGCTGCAGGGTAGGTCTCACTCCTTTTTTTGAAAATTAAACTTTTAGCAAGACCATTCCGATGCTGCTTTGCATTCAAGAGCAATAAATTCCGGAGCAAATGGCAAAACGCTCTTCTATGATCTTTAGCTGATGTCTATAATTATACTTAGAGACCTTCTGCAGTCCCAGCCATGGCAATGGCTCTGTGTTTGTGTCAACACAGCCGCATGTGCGTGCACACACACACGCACAGAACATGCGTGGGGCTTCCCGGGTAGCACACGTGTGCCTGTGCCTGTGTGTGCGCACAGGCTCCCAGCGCGCACAGAGCAGCCTCTGCTCAGCCACTCGCCCCGTGCTACCTCCTGCACCTTCCCTAGGTCCACCTTAAAGCCTCTTTGTATCCCACTTACCCCGCCACCGTAAGCACACAGCACATCTGCATTTACAGCTCGTCAGGCAGGAGGAAAGGAAAAGAGAGAATTAAAAAAAAAAAAAAAAAAAAAAAAAAAAAAAAAAAAAAAAAAAAAAAAAAAAAAAAAAAGAGCCTCCAGGAAACCAGGGCAGCTTCCCCCACTCCCCGTGATTGTGCCTGCAAAAGGAGGCAGAATATACTAATCGCTCTTTCTGGTCTGAAATCACTGGGCCCTGTCCAATGCGATCGTTTTGTCTTTACTTCTACAGGTACAGTATATGGAACACATGGGAGACGAGGGAGGCAAACTTACACCAGATACCAAACGCTAGAGTTAGAGAAGGAATTTCATTTTAACAGATACTTAACCCGAAGACGACGTATTGAGATTGCAAACGCTCTCTGCCTTACTGAACGCCAGATTAAAATATGGTTTCAAAACAGGCGGATGAAATGGAAAAAGGAAAACAAATTCATAAATTCCACACAGCCCAGCAGCGAAGAAACAGAGGAAAAGTCAGGGGAGTAGAACCACGTTTAATAAACGCTACCAGGCCTTTCCTTAGCGCTTACTACTACTACTATTATTATTATTATTTACCTTGTGTTCCTTCTGCTACTGAAATCCTATAGGTTTGTCACAGTCTATTAATCCCCAAAGGCTTGGTTAAAAGATGTATATTTGCAATCATCTGTGACTTACTCTAATATATGTGGAAGCCCCAGCTTTCGAGCTACAGGCATGTATGTATGTAACCATCTCCCTAAAGCGTATATGGCGTCGGTTAAAGCATTAGAGAATTGGCCCAGAATTTTAAATGTTTGAGATTAGCATCTCAAATGGGTGAGTGGGTGGTGTCCCTGGTGTGTTTGTGTGAGAAAAGATAAGCAAATTATATTTTATCTTTTTTTTTTTTTTTTTTTTTTTAATTAGAAATGCTTTTATTGTAGAAAGACAAGAGATTTTAGAAAATATTTGGTTTATGTTTTTGCTAGCTCCCGTTACGGCGGGCCATCTCGTTATTCTATGTTTGGGAGTTTATGATCCGCAGGGGAAAAAAAAAGTTGTAGCTATGTATAAGATATTTAAAGAGCAAATGGAAGAAAAATTCTTTTAAAAAACGCTGTATAAATCCCTGTGTATAAACTTTCAGTTAAAGCGAAGATGAATTGCAGGGATATTTTTTTTAAATGTCGCTAAACTGCTTAGTCTGCATTATAGTATTAAAGTAAAAACTCGGTGTTAAACTTCAGGGGAAGCGAGGGAAGAGGTTTTGAAGCGGGCAATTTTCTGTGGTTCCCGTTGAGCTTACGCTAAGATTTTGGTGAGCTCAGCTCTGCACTGAAGGGGCTTTGAATTATGGACTACATTTCTTGGGGCTTCGTGAGCTTAGATCGATCTTTTCCCCTTTAATCTCTCTTTCTTTCTCTGATTCTTTCTTTCTTCCTTCCTTCCTTGCTTCCTTCCTCTCTTTCTTATTTGAAGAAAAGGTCTTATTAACTTGGGGATTTTCTTTCCTGCTTCTGCGGTATCTTAATTCACATTCGCATTACTTAGCACTGGAAAAAAATAAATTGATACTTTGAAGAAAAATAGCTGCCATAAAATGCTTCCACTTCGAGATTTGTAAAAGTAAAATAAGGGCAGAAAAAATATTGATTAATATATACGTTATATCTCTATATTATATTGCGTGTGCATGTGAAGCTGTGTACAAATGCACTTGTATACGCATCGAGGCTCTTTTGTTTGGAAGGCAGCACAATTTGGGCTACTACTCTAAATGTTTTAAAAGCCAAGTCTGGAGAATATAATGCAAAATGGCTACCACCGCATTTAGAGGATTTTTTCCTCTCCGAGAGGCGATGAAATAACGGCAGCCGTAAAGTCGCCTGGAATCTGACCCCCTAGTTGGAAAAAACGCTGCACGATTTTCATCTTTAATAGATATCTGCCATTTCACATCGGCAGGACCCGGCTGCCTCTCGAAAGCTCCGGCACGGGAATAAGTGTGGGGGAAATTATATATCTATGTGTATATATGTAGAAGGGACATAAACCTCGCCAGCATCCGAGAACGGATCGTGTAGGATTTGAGCACCGGTGTAAAAAACCCTCGCACGGAGGCGAAGGCAGGCACAAAGCGCAGCGCTCTCTGCACGCCCATCTCCCCGGCGGCCGGCTCGCAGGAGCAATGCCCGCCAGCCCCGCAGCCTCGCCGCCGGTGCCGGTGCCGGTGGCGGCGAGCCCCGCTCCGCTCCGCGCCTCTCCGCGCCGCTCCGCGCCGCCGTCGGGGGCCGTCACCCCGGGCCGACCCCGGCGGCGGCGGCGGCGCGCACGGGAGGCGCGCCCCGGGCCGCCCGCGCCCTCCCAGCTCCCCCACCAGTGCACGAGTTTACCTCTAGAGGTCATCAGGCAGGATTTACGACTGGACAACAAAAGCACGTGATGTGAAGCCGTACCCCATATTTGGGTGCCTACGTAGGAGGGAACCAAGTACATGTCCCAGTCATTTCCATAATTCATCATAAATTGTGCAAGGGTGCTATAGACGCACAAAACGACCAAGAGCCACAAATCAAGCACACATATCAAAAAACAAATGAGCTCTTATTTTGTAAACTCATTTTGCGGTCGCTATCCAAATGGCCCGGACTACCAGTTACATAATTATGGAGATCACAGCTCGGTGAGCGAGCAATACAGGGACTCCGCCAGCATGCACTCCGGCAGGTACGGATACGGCTACAATGGCATGGACCTCAGCGTCGGGCGCTCTGCTTCCACTCACTTTGGTGCCAATGAGAGACCCCGCAGTTACCCGGCCAACACCACCTCTGCCTCGACAGAGCCCAGGTACAACCAGCCCGCGACGTCTTCCCACTCGCCTCCCCCTGACCCTCTGCCCTGCACCGCCGTGGCCGGTTCGCCTGTCAGCGAGAGTCACCACGGGGTGAAAAACTCCCTCGCCAACTCCACCAGCACTTCGTCCAATTCCAGCAGCAACACGCACATCAGTAGAGACGGGGTTGGCACCTCGTCTGGGACTGAGGAAGACACTCCAGCAAGCAGCGAGCAGGCAAGTGCCCCGACCGACCAAAGCACAGCCCAGCCTTCACAGCCCCAGATCTACCCTTGGATGCGAAAACTGCACATAAGTCATGGTAAAGCAAATACCCTGTTCTTTCTTTATTTCTCTGGAGGAAAAGGAGGATTTAATGTAAACCGGGTGGCTGCGCCGAGCAAGGTCGGGGAGAGGGGGAGAGGAGGGCGTGAGAGCGGGCAGTCTCCGCTCACACCACAACTCTGCTCGCAGGGAAGCACGCTCCCTTCTCTGGGCGAGTCCCCCCCGAAAGGATAAAAAAAAACCTCTCGGCCCCGAAAACACCGCCCGCCTGGCTCCCAGCGCCGGCGGGGGGAGTAGAAGGCGCCTTGCCGAAGGGAGATCGGGAGCTCCCGGCTCTCCTCTGAATGGGGGATCTTCCAGTGGGAACGGCGCGGCTGACCCCATTTATTTTGCTTAGACATATTAAAAAGAGAATAGGAAAGGGCGAGAAGGGCAGTTTTCACTGCTGGGAAGCCGTGGGGGAGGGGGCAGGGCGAGTCGCCCCAAACTCGGGGTAGAGGGCTCGAGGGGCGCGGGGGAGCAAAGCAACTTTCAGCCCCGGGTACCTGCCCTGCCCTCGCTGCTGGGAGAGCGGCCGGAGGCTCTCTGCCTCCCAGAGCCTTCCCCAGCTCAGCCGTGGGAAAGGGCTGCACGCTTCAGCTTTGCTCTCTCAGCTCTGAAAACCCAGCTATCAGCAGAGACATCCTCCAAATCAGCTTATCTGGGGGAGGCATGGGGGACAACTAACCTTATTAGAAAGAAAAAAAAAAAAAAAAACTGAAAAAAAAATAAATTAGAAAAAATGGAATCGCAAATCCAAGCGAAAACTTACCGAGACTACCAAATCCCCCTCCCCCAAGCCTTTCCTAAGAGGGGCTGGAGGGGGAAACTTGTTGAGCGTTTATCCAAACCAGAAACAAAACCAAGCAGGACCGAGAATAACGGTCCTGGTTGCTGGTAGCTGCAATGAGACACGAAGGCTCCGAGAGGCTGCTGAGAATCTAAATCATGTACTTTTCTCTTCCAGACAACATAGGGGGACCAGAAGGGAAAAGGGCTCGGACTGCTTACACCCGCTATCAGACCTTGGAGCTCGAAAAGGAATTTCACTTCAATAGATACCTGACCCGCAGAAGAAGGATTGAAATAGCACATGCTCTTTGCCTCTCAGAGAGACAAATAAAGATCTGGTTCCAAAACAGGAGAATGAAATGGAAAAAGGATAATAAGCTGAAAAGTATGAGCATGGCAGCTGCAGGAGGGGCATTCCGTCCCTAAGCGTTTGATCAATTAAAAGTACTGAGCAGTATTAGCTGACCCTGCGTCGTCTCATGTCAGTACTAAGTTGACTTTCTAAAACTTCCTTGTGTTACTTCTGTGAAGAAACCCTGTTCTTGTCGCCCTTATTCATCTTTTAATCATGAGCCTGTTTATTACCATTCTCTCGCGTGTATAAGTAGATCTGCTTTTATCGTACATTTCTTTGTCTTGAATGGCTTTGTCTTGAAAAAAATAATAGATGTTTTAACTTATTTATAAGAAGCGAGCTGTGTTACTTGAAGTAACTGTTAAAACAAAACAAAACTAAACAAAAAAGAACAAAAAGGAAAAAAAGAAGTTAAAAAAAATAAGGAGAGAGAGAAAGGAAACCCTCCCCCGGTTTAGTACAAATGTTATGTGTTGCACTCAACCTGCTTAACTGTGCATGTGTGGTCAAGTGTTAATGTCTGTATAGCTCCAAGCTGTTAAAAATATTTTTATTCAAACTACCTATATAATTCCTGTGTAATTAATGCTGTTGTAGAGGTGAAATGATGAAATCAACTGAATTTGTCCTACGTGTAGTGAATAGTGAATCTGTGACGAAAACTGTGATTCCAAGCAGTATGTCCTTGCTGTGCCTTTGTATATGACTCTTTGCACGAACTCTTAGAAGTGGCTCTTATTAAGCGCAGCTTCTGTGATGTATGTTTTTTGTGAACAAAGTTACAAATATAGTCAAAGTCTGGCTGTTTAAGCAAACTGTGATCAGCTTTTTTTTTTTTAATTATTATTATTATTATTATTATTTGTTTTTAAAAAAACTGACTGGAAATCAACAAAAAAATAAACTTTCTATTGTAAAGTTTTTGTGATCTGATTTGTGCAAAGCAAGAAGTTGTGCTTCCTGATTTGCCTCTGAAAAAGAAAAAAAAAAAATTAGCCCGTGCAGAGTTTCTTATAATATTTCACCTGGCTCCTGCTGCACGTTGCATATGGTGGATGCTGCAATTGTCCGCTACCAGTATTTTTAATTGAAAGTTTGACCATAAGTTCTTCCTTACTTGTTTCTCGCTAGGTGGAAAGCTGCCTCGCAGGACCACAATCAACACCCTTTGTGGCCGAATCAACTGTTAACTGTTTGCTGATGGTTAATATTAAAAAAAAAAAAAAAAAAAAAAAAAAAACCACCAAAAACCAAACCACAACCCAAACCCCAAAACATGTGCTTTGTTAAAATACGCTGCGAACTCCAGGGTGTGTTTGCATCGCTCTAGAATTTCTCCTGTGGTTTCATTAAGTATGTTTTAGGACAGCCATGTCCAAGCTCTCTGCGCCTATTAGTAACTCTCTCTAGCCACATTCCCACTCTTCACCCTTTAAAGATTTTTGGTTTTCTTTGCTAGAATTATTTTGCTATAAACGTAATGTTACTTACCCCATCAGAGCTTGAATGGTTAACTCTTCTGAGCTTCTAAGAGCAACTAAAGATTTGCACATTTACTGACTGGTTACATTGATGCCTTCCCTTAAAAGTTATAAAACAGTAAACTTTATAAGCCCCAGTTCCGGCTATATGACATTTGGGTGCCAAATGAATAGGGTTTTGTCTATGAATTAGATCGTAAAATCATCCATAGCACAGACAGATAGGCTCACTGGCTATAAAAAGTCACGTGGTGCCATTAAAGTAAGTTTTATGGTTTTGGGGAGTTGACATCCAACATTATATACCACATAACATATAATCTCACTGACGCTGGACTTCATTTGACTCTTTTGCAGGCTACGTGTGCCTCCTGGCCATTCAAATTGTCAGGTTTAGGGACAGAAGTATCCAAACCACAAGTTCTCAGTACTATGTGAAAAATGGCTCCTTGCAAGTCAAAGGTAAGTTTTGTGCACAAGTTCCTTAAAGTTTATTTGTACAGTGGGGAAGTCGAGGCTCCTGCTCGCTCTCGCTGCCTCTCGCCTCTCTCTTTCTTTCTCTTTCTCTTTCCCTTCCTCTCCGCCTGGAGGTTTTCAGGACGGTCCCACCGAGCCCGAGAGGCAGGATCAAGCACTAATGATCCAGGTTGCGCTGCAAATACCTCCCCCCATCCCTTCACTCGCAGCAGCTAGCTCTCTATTTTAACGATCAAATCAAAGTAAACCACAATAAGCGACTTTGGCAGAGATGGATTTTGGGGCCTAGCTTTAATCACTTTGACTACCGCAGAAGATAATTACTTCCTTTGCTCCAATAGACTCTCCAAGTTTGGAGAGGTTTTGTTTAGCAAAGAGTAGTTACTGCAGGCGATTAAAAAAAGGGGGAAACAAAATAGATTGGGCTTGATATTATCTGGGCAGTATCTTATGTAGGCATGATAGAGTTGGAGGCGTGATGATATGGTAATAATCTTTGGATTGGTGAAATATGTTGCACATCAGAGTCAGTATTAAAAAGGCACAGACTGTACTGGAGTGCTTAGATACATATTTTCTGCTTTGGGTTGTGCAGAAAGCTTTAGCTGTGTGTATATGTGCATCTGTGAGTACGTAGCGTGTTTTGGGGACGTGCATTTATAACGCTGCTATAACTTTTTCCCGGTTCTATACGTAACTGCATAAATAGAAATGTATTTAAATTATATTCATGTGTGCCTGCTTGTACAAATCAGTTTGTACTTCTGTGTAAAGCCGTGCAGATGCATATATGTGTCTAATATTGCTGTATTCACATACACAAAGGGTGTGTACGTGTGTACACATATATATGTTCCTGTGACTTCCTTTTTTTTTTTTTTTTTTTTTAAGCGAACCAATTGACTGTAACTTGTAGCATTAATACAAGAGACTACAGGTCATTAGAGTGCTGCAAATTATGAAATACGGGCTTGGTTTATTGAAGATTGTAAATATCCTCCTAGCTCTGCTCTCTCCCTTTCTGCCTTATATTGCTGGCTGCCATTGTGGGGTAGGCCCCAGCTGCGTGTTTACTTCAACATTCTTTTTATTTAAGTGGACTGTTCTCACTAGAGTGTGATTACTCAGCAATAAACTTTATGGCCGGATTTAACTTCAGTCTTTGAATTTCCAGGACTTGAATGAAAGGGTGAAAGGAACTCTATCTTTCTCTGGGTAACATTAAGGCCTGATCCTTATCCTCAGAGCTGTTACTTTGGCGAGTGATCTCGGGGGGTATAAACAGACTGGTCAGGGGCTATCGTAGAATTCTGAGAATTGCCTATTATCTATCTATCTATCTATCTATCTATCTATCTATCTATCTATCTATCTATCTCTCCAAACCAGCTGTGGGCATCTCTTTCCCTGCACAGGTTTGGAGTAACATTGATTCAGCAGACTCCATTGTTTTCTTTTATGTGCCATAAAGTTGGGTTGCAAAAGAATGGAGTGGTTTGATGTGAGAGATGGGCTTTGTTTTATTTCGCTAGTGCTATGCCATTTGAATGTTGTGGTTTACGCTGGTTTGGCTACTGTGAGCGAAAATGGAAGAAAGGCGCAGGGTTTTAGGAGGGTAAGGTTGTTGTGTACCTCTGCAAGGTCTGCATATTGCTGACTGATTCTTATTTTTAATTTATTTGTCTTTAGCTTTAAAGAAATGGTAGTATCTAATGTAGGTTCACCCCAAAGAGCTCAGTCTTAAAAACATTTAATATTTAAAGACAACCCTTGCGGAAGATAAATAGAGTCTGATGCCTTTGTGTCTGTCGATCCTTCCTGTCAGCACTAAACAAACACATCTGCATATATTTCATATTAAAAAAAATGAGAAAGGCTTTAAAAGAGCATATCCAAATGCACATTCGAAAATCATTTCCTTTTAAACAGCTGGAGATTTTATAGTACTCTAGTTGACACATTTTCGTCAATAGGAATATCAGAAAGTTGTATATGATAGGCGTGTATTATATTATACTATATGCCATAAAATTTTATAGTTTGAGGCAAGGCATGAAAAACCTTTAAAAGTTTGGTCTTCATTTATATATAGGTCCCTTTCCAAGGAAAACCCTTTGCTTGTAGATGGGAATTTTACTAGACACAAACAGCTCGTGATTACTCAGTATTTAACAACACTGTGCTATTTGAATTAACTGACTAATATACAAGCACGCAAGGACGCCCGTTGGACTAATATTTCAGAATCCTGGATATCATCCTGGATTGTAATTTTTCATTGCCTAGAGTGAAAAGATTTGCTACTGTGTATTTTCCACATTTTTGAATGTGGCTTCTGGACCATATCCCACACAAAGCAATGTACAGTCGTTCAAGAACTATGAAAAAGAAAAATATCCCTAGGTCCAGAAGCATATGAACCCGCCTGTACTGCAAAAAACACTAGCAACAAAAGAAAGTTAGCTAGAAATGACAACTTCACCCTGTTTCTGGTCCTGCCGCGTATTAAGCATCACAGTTGAAACCATTCAAACACAAAAATGCGTTAAGATTTCCTAATACGCTTTGAAATTTGAAATTCAAACAAGACCAGACTGCCGAACTCTGCGAAAATAGTCCCAGGTCCGAATTGTTTTCCGAGGGAAAATGTAATGGGAAATTATACCTGGGAATCAGGAGAGAGGTTTTATCTGCACACGTTATTTTTCTGATGAGTTTGGGGGATTAATAGGTGCAAGATTTTTTTCTATTTTAGGAATGGCAAGTTGCGTTCTGCGATTTGAAATACAGTTTACTTAATCCTTTGAAAGAAATACTTGCGTGTAGTGTCTCATGTCTAAGTGTAAAACCAATTAAAGATTAGTCAGCTCTCTTAATGTGTGGAACTGGTGACTTTGCAAGACTTAACTTTCTCCAAACCAGGAGTGTAACAATCCAATGGAAAGTCATCCGTAAATTACAGCTCTGCAGCCTTGTCTAAACCATGCAAACGCCCTATTTTCAGAACACGGAAATTATTATTCTGCCATTTCCTTAAATGTAATAAGTGTGTATCTGTGGAAAGGTGACAATAGAGGAGTTTGCAATTTGCTCCATGGTAAATCGAATGGAACTGATCATGGTGGGGGGATCAGGAAGTTTCGATTTCTAACGCTGAATACGGGAGCAAGGCGTTTTCCCTCCCCGTAAATACAGATTTGACGCATTTAATGCAGACACGAGTAAACCTCCTGACCAAGTTAAGATGTCGTTGACTTTCTTAGTCCTTTCTCTTTCTCCCCTAAAATCTTCCCGATTTGAGGCTAGGATTACTAGCTAGAGCGGAAAACCACAGTTCCCACAGTCTTCTGGTCATCTTTGAAAATATTATCCCTTTCAAATTAAAGCATCTTCTCTAATGTCTCTCTGTAAGGCAAATACTCATGGACCACCCCGGTCACATGTTCCTGTAGCTATGCGCACAAACAATTTCAAATCTGACACAGAGATCGTGTAAAATTTGCATGGATTTTGCCTTATAACATGCAAAAGGAATCTTTTCTATATCCCCTCCCCCCAAAAAATGTCTTTTCAATAATAATATTTGCTATGAAGGTTATTGGGTAATTATTGCAATTTTGTGGAACAGTCCTTGCTTGAGGTGAAGTCTGTCTCCGGATAATAAATGGCAGCCCGTGCAGTTCACTGCCAGGTTAAGTAAATGCAGAAAAGATAAATCTGCACACCCTAGGAATCACCAGCAGAGCTCGCTTTAGACCAAGTTCACAGTCAACTCGTTTGCCTAGACAAGGCTTCGCAAACAATTAGACTTGTTTCTTTATGTTTAAATCAAGGAGAAATGACTAAAACCCTTCAGCAGAGAGCTGCAGCTTTTCCCGCAACGCTCTTCGCTCCATTCCTTCCAACCTCACGCCCGGAACTTACCCGGCATTTCACCTGCAATTGTAACCATATAGCGCCTTTGAGTAACAGGCTTCCCTCCAACGCTGCCGAAAGGCTGTGCAAACTGATCTAACAGCATTTTACAAAGCTGAGAGATTAAGGAAAAGAAAAAAACAATAAAAAAGGCAAAAGTATCCGATTTCTCAGCAGCAAGAAGAAGGAAAAAAAAAAGGCAACAACAAAAAAGAGCGCCCTTAGAAAGCTGGGGGGAAACAAGCAGAAGTATTGAAACAAACAGTGCGAGTCTCTTACTCCTAAAAGAAGCTGCATAGCTTTTGTATATCTTTGTGGTTAAGGGCGTTACAACTGCAGGTCAAAAAGTTGAGGGTCAAAAGTTTACGTTTTGCACCACTCTTAGTCATTCGCCCAGACAGAGTTTGATGTCAATGTTATAGCCGAGATCTTGACTATCAGCACAAAAGATAAAATAGCTTTGAGTTACGTGTGTATCACAGTATGGACTCCAGGTGAACCCTACTGGCTGAATGACCTCAATTACCAAGGAAAGGATAGAAAATTCCTCTTTTCAAGAGTAATACACGTTGTATTTCTTCTTGAATTATCAGCCACATTTGTGTCTGAATATCTCGGGTTCAGCCGCGGCAGGTAAACACGCGTGTTACCCCCACAGAAGCCACTGATGTTGCCTCCTCCAAAAGTCAAGTAGCAAAATGCCTCACCCTTGTTTATTATATAATAACCTGCTCTAAGAGGTTTAATGTTAAGCCTTCTCACTTTGCAAAATGGCAGGAAGATAAGATAGGAGCGAAGCTATTAACGCGTGTATCGATCCTAGCCGCGTCTTTGTTTTTGCTCTCATTTCTGTAGCGACGGCTAAACTGTGCTTAAACAGGACATGCCGGAGATAATACGGGCTATATGTTTGGTCCGGAGGAACTCGTTTCAAATGCGGAGCGGTGAAGCCATGTTGCGATACCCATGGAAAATATTACGGAGAAGCTGGCGCCCTGCGCCTCTCCGTGATTTGGAGGGTTCTCACAGGCTTCTGGAATTACCCGAGGCGGCAGTTCCCAGCGAAATTTGGAGTAGGACGAGTTGTTTTTCCTCCAGCCACCCACCCCTCTTCACCCTTCCAAGAAAAAGTTTAGTGGAATTTCTTAGCGCGGAGAGATTCCCACATTGCTGGGATTTTTTTTTGTTCCCAGTGCCGCCTCTGAGTGAAAGCTTTAGCTCCTTGGTTAGACGTGTCTGCAGGGAGAACTAGCCAATATTGCTCAAGCAACTTCATTTTGGAGGACATCATCTCAGACGGGATTCAGCTTGAAATTTTAAGGCTGAGGGGTGGGTGGAAGAGGGAAAGGATATTCGAATATAGCCATAATCAGACCCGAAAGGTGTGGAGGAGGGGACAGTGCGACAAGGAAATCCGAGAAAGAGAGCACCTCACCCCCAACCACGCATTGCTGCCTTTCCACCCCCAAGGCAGCAGCCTACACCGGCCTCTGTGTAACTGGTACTCGTGAATTATTTGCCAGAGACACAGCTGGATCGTGGCAGGCGAGCGCTGTATCTTGGGAACAAGTACGCGAGAGGTTAGATATCAGATTAGCCAAAGTGATTATCGGAGATTGTGCCTAAAGTACCTGCTGAAGCCTGGAAAGTGTGTAATGCAAGTGTTTGCTCGGCGTGTAGACGCTGTTCACAAGTTGTTGCTGCTGCTCACTTGTAGCGAGCCCTGGCACTGCACGTTTAGGGAGCCTGCCCGCTCTGGAGATAGTATATAACCTTTCACATCCAGACTATTTGTTTGGTGTAAGAGCGAAGCCTGATAACAAGCTAAAAACCGTAGCCAAATATCTATTTTGTTAGAGAATAGCAGGCGGATTGTTTCCAAGAATAACAATGCGTCTTTGATATACCCAGAATGAAAGCTGTTACTATAACCGGCTTACTCAAGAGTAGGTGACAGAAATCCATTTACTTCCTCACTAAAACAATTAGTGGTCCGAATTCCATAGTTTAAACCTGGTTTAGAATAAAATTATCAATGAGAATAATTTCAAAGAAGTTGAAACCGCGACTTACATAAATATTGACTCTTTTCAATTATTGTTTAAATTGTTTCCCCCTCCCAAAAAAAAAAAAAAAAAAAAAAAAAGGCAACAGGCTAGAACAGGACAGTTAATAATTTGAGACGAACTCTCTCTGTCCTTTCACTCTCTGCATTCAGCACGCTGCTCTCTGGCGTGGAAGGTTTGCTCAAAAGACCATTCATTTAAAATCCGGGCACAAATCACATTTTACGTGTGTTTATTTAAGCGCACCAGGACAGAGTGAGCAAACCCCGCCAACCATCCCGTTGTTAAGAGGAGCCCCAGTGCCAGGGAAACCACCGCTTTTGACAAATGCTGAACTTGGGGCAAAAATGCCAACATTGCCCCGGCAGCGCCCATCGGGAAGGACGCTCTCATCCGCGGAGGCAGGAGCAGCCTCGGGGCTGTATCATTCCCAGGAACAAAGAAAGGAATACAGTCGATACATTCCATAACGTTTACATTTTCCCTCGATTTTTTTCTTATTTTTCCCTTAGAAGAAGTGACCTGGGCAAAGCACCCTGCTATCTAAAAGACACTGTTATAGACCTTTTAGAAAAACTAAGTCCAAGGCCGAGGTGAACTTCAGGTCACCGCGTCTAACAAATATGAAAATGTCGCCTGGTGAAGGGCACGCCTTGTTATTTAACAAAGACTGTCAATGTGTAAGATTAATAAGAAACAAAATGCACACGGTGTCACTTTTCGGTCACTTTGAAACTTGGGACAGCCTCGCATTCAAGAGGGGAAAGCTGGGACTAAATATATTCAAAATGGTTCAAATCAAAGTCAAACCAGGCTGCTAGTGCGATTCTTCCTCCTCCTACCGCTCTCGGTGGAGGATACCCGGCACGGCAAGAGGTTGACTTGAATTATTATTATTATTATTATTATTATTATTATTATTATTATTACACTACTACTACTATTATTGTTATTATTGCTGTTGTTATTATTCTTTTCTCTTTCGTGGTAATTACGTTTTAGCTGCATAAGTGGAGGGTAACAGGAATGCTTGCCTGTTTCACAAGAAACAGAGGGATCCCCTTTCCCCCCCTCTTTCGGTATGTATTGAGTTGCTTCTTCTTGGTGCATGAAAATTTACTCTCTCCCTCTCAGCTTAATTCCAGTGCTGTCCCCATCCCATTCTCGGCCAGCCTCGGCCAGGAAACTCTCGCTTCTTTATTAATTGATTGAAGTCTCCTTCTCCAGTGAAAACGAGCCTTTAGTCCTTCTGGAAAAATAAGGGAACTGGCCTATTTTATCCCATCCTTTTCTTTCTTTGAGAACTTAGGATGATGGTACAAGTTTGTTAAAGGGAAGTACTGGGGGAAAAAAGGGTTTGAGATTGTTTATTACAGCCATAAATCTTGCAGTAAAACGTCGAAATGGCCGTGTGCAAGATAACACTTGGTGGTCTTGGCTGGGTTCTTGTTTATGATAACAAAACCAGAAAGACATGGAACAGGCCTTTTGGAGGTCCTGCCTCAGCACATCTTCACAGACTAAGAGAACCACACGAAAAAGCCAGACTTGAGCTGGGCAGCTCAGGTCACCTTGCAGATTTACACTCGTATACAAAACTGAGTCCTTCGCTCTGTAACCAAGCGCCAGAGCTCTACTGTAGCAAAGGGCACGGTGAAACTTTGAGATCTAATCACAGTAAATAATATGAAGCAGAGCCAGGTCAACTCTCCCAATATAGCGCTGATCTTACAAACCGAGACAACACTTCTCGTTGTGTTTTACTGTGGCGTGGGAACACGGCCGCCCGCTGTAGTGCTCCGGCCACAGAGCCTCAGGACTTATGCCGAGGATAATATTTACGATACCCCAGTGTAATTCATCTGGTGCTAGCCGGCAGGTATTTGTATGTATGCGTCTCTGTGTGTGCATGTATCTCTTTATACCGGGAAAATGCTTTCGTGGTGGACCTCGGTGATCTTTTATTTTTAACAGTCGTGCAGATAGGAGCTTTTTTTTTTTATTTTAGGAAAAGGGTTTGTTGTTGTTTTGTTGTTTGGAATATAAATAAAACAAGGTCCCCTTTTCTGTCAAATGTGTGCTGTTGAGCAGTTGCGGCTGTCTCTGTGTTTAACCGCGTGTGTGTAACCGCATTTCCTCTCCACGCAGAGTAAATAGAGAAACTTATCTATTACGCTAGTTAGAGTTCCATAGACGTGCTGTTGGAAATGAGTAAGTAAATGTGTTTTAACTCTCTTTACAAATTAGACATTCGATAGTAGGAGGAAATGAGTGATTGTTTAGATAAGTACCTCAGTATACCCAAGTGCTGGAGATGTTCTAACATATTACAAGCCGCATGCAATGTGCGTGCCTATGTGTCTGTGGATAAAATATAAATCGATACGCTGTGTGTCTTGTTAGATAGAATATATATTCAAATAGAATTTTATTGCATGTATCCATTATCTATTAAACTGCAAAAGACAATAATCTGAATTTAAACCAGGGCAACTGTTAGTGTAATATCTTTAGGAAGGCAAGACCTAAACTGTATCATATTTTCGCTTGATATATTAGAAGTATTTTCCCATACCAGTAGATGAGATTTAGCCACTCAGCAATTATATTCTCTAAGGGTGTGGTAAATATTTCTATCTGTTTATATTCTTTCCTGTGCAGATGAAAAAAATAATCTGAAAAAGTTCGCGCCTACTCCAAATGTGGCAGACTAGCTGACGTTCAATAAGTATTTTTTTTCCCCCTTAGAATAAGAGCGTAATTAGTTTAACCATCAAATTTCAATTACCTAAGGTCAGGGCGGTTGCCTCGTTTCCCCCTGAGCTGCAAATACCGTTAACAGTCTCCGTTTTAGCTACGTAGAAGTGCCCGAGTGCCCTCTCCCTCCTACACCAGGGTTTGCGAGCTACTGCTGCGAAGGCTCTAGTGATTTCTGATGCAAGTGAAAATCAAAAAATAAAACCCCGACGAGGCACACCAAACCAACGGACTTAAATCCGTAATTCAGAAAGCTCTGCTCCGTGGGGAGGGATGCTCACAGTGAGCCCTGTAATCGCCGGTAGGAAGTGTTTGATATCGTCGTGTCCATCTTCCCCTCTCCCTTCCCCCTCTGTTCCCCGTTATTTTCAGGCTCGTTCTATGCCTCACACCCCGCTAGCCCCTCGAGGACTCTCCTCGGCCTCCCCGCGACCTTCGTTCTAACTTTTCCTTCAGTTAGCCCAGCTTCAAAGGGGCAAAAAGCTGTCCCCGGAGTTCGCGGCCGCCCGCGGTCCGCAGCGGCGGGACGCTGGGGACAGACCGTGGAGGGCGGCCGGTGGCCTGTGCCCGACAGCGGCTGCCGCCCTCTGCCTGCGCGCAGCCCCGGCGTTTGGAGATGGGCTTGTTCGAAAGGATTGTGCAACGCCTTGTGCAATGCCTGCCTCCCTCTGGATCACGCAGCTGGGCTGCGCTCCGCTTCCTCGCCCTGCTTCCTACACTCTCCCACGGGAGAACGAAGACACAAAAAGTGCTGGGGCGGGCGGGGTGGGTGGGAGACTGTCAAAGCCGGATTAGTTTTATCTCGCTTGACACCGCGACTGCTGGACGCTGCCCGGGTCGGCGGGCGGGAGGAGCCCGGGATGCTGGTGAGGAGCGGACGCGGGGCGCTCCCTCTCCAGCCAGCCGCCGCCCGTGGGGGAGGCGCGGTCCCCGCGAAGGGTCCGCGGGCGCGGAGCTGCCCTGCGGCCGCTCGTCCCTCTTCCATTTCCTGATCCGGGGTCCGCGGCCCCGCGCGGTAATTGGCGCTGGCGGTCAGGTGGTGGCGGGGCGGCGGGGGGTGCGGGTGTGTGTGTGCGCGGGTGTGTGTTTGTGTGTGTTGTAGGCGCTCCAGGGGTGGGAAGAGAGGAAGGGAGGGGAGTGCAGCGGGGAAAGGAAACTTTGGCAGCGGCAGCACTTGACAGCAGCGGGAGGGGGAGAGGGAGGGAAAGGAGGGAAGGGGGGGGAAGGGGAGGGGCCTCGCCGAGCCCAGAAAAACGACAACGCGAGAAAAATTAGTATTTTTGCACTTCACAAATTAATGACCATGAGTTCGTTTTTGATAAACTCCAACTACATCGAACCCAAATTCCCTCCCTGCGAGGAATACACGCAGCACAGCGGCAGCGCCGGCAGCTCCGCCAGCTACCACCCGCACCACTCGCACCCGCACGCCCCGCCGCCGCCGCCGCCGCCGCCGCACCTGCACGCCGCGCACCCGGGCCCGGCGCTGCCCGAGTACTTCCCGCGGCCGCGCCGGGAACCGGGCTACCAGGCTCCCGCCGCGCCGCCGGGGCCGCCGGGGCCGCCTCCCGAGGCGCTCTACCCCGCGCAGGCACCCTCCTACCCCCAGGCGCCCTACAGCTACAGCAGCGCCGGCAGCGCCGCCCCGGGCCCCGAGCAGCCGCCCCCGGGCGCCTCGCCGCCGCCGCCCGCCAAGGGCCACCCCGGCCCGCCCCAGCCCCTGCTCCCAGGCCATGCCCTGCAGCGCCGCTGCGAAGCAGCCCCCGCCGCCGGGGCCGGCACCGCGCCCGCCTGTGCGCTGCTGCCCGACAAGAGCCTGCCCGGGTTGAAGGGGAAGGAGCCGGTGGTGTACCCCTGGATGAAGAAGATCCATGTGAGCACGGGTGAGTTGCCCTTGCCAGGGGGAGGTGGGGATGCGCCTGCAGAGGAGGGAAGGGGGGAGGGTGCTCCCGGGACCGGGATGGGTCGTTGAGTGTGTGGCTTTTTTTTCCCCCTCCTTCTCCCTTCGCGTTTCCTAATAGTAAAGAAAAGGAAAAAAAAATCAAGAAAAAAAATCAAGGAAAAAAAAAAAAAAAGAAAAAAGTGAGAAACCTTTTGTATCCGGGGTCCTTTATCAAAAGATTTACGAGACGCCAAACTGTTAGGGCAGTAATTATAGCCCCCATAAATTTAATTGCCCTGCAGTGGCTCTGGGCCATGTGTCTTTGAAGCTTTTCTTCTAACCCAAATGCCCATCACCATTTTTTATTGCTCCTCGATTGTCCCCACTGTCGATAGGCTGGGAAACAATTTTTCTTGCCGTTTATGTATCTTATGTGAACCCGGTGTCAAGTTATTATATAATGATTATGTTCCATCCCTTCCCCTCTCCTTCTTTCCTCTCCGCGTGTGTATGTGTGTGCCTGTGTGCGCACGTTTCAGTCAACCCCAATTACAACGGAGGGGAGCCCAAGAGGTCTCGCACAGCCTACACCAGACAGCAGGTCCTGGAGCTGGAGAAGGAGTTTCACTTCAACCGCTACCTGACCAGAAGGCGACGCATCGAGATCGCGCACACCCTCTGCCTCTCCGAGCGCCAGGTCAAAATCTGGTTCCAGAACAGGCGCATGAAGTGGAAGAAAGACCATAAACTGCCTAACACAAAGATGCGCTCCTCAAACCAGTCCACACTGAGCCAGCAGTCCAAAGCACAGACACAGGGCCACCCCCATCCTCTCGATGGGGCTACACCCAACGCAGCTGCGCTATAAATACGGTTTTTGGTTTGAGTCTTTTTGGTCTTTTTTTTGTTTGGTTGGCTTTTTTTTTTTTTTTTTTTGGTCGTTGTTGTTGTTGTTGTTTTGGTTTTTTTTTTAATATATATATATATACCTATCTATTGGGGTTTTCAAGCTGCCTCGAGGTGGAGGCTGGCCTTTTGGACCAAACTGTGTAAAACAAAACAGGAGCAGAAAAGGAAGACGAGACGTGTCCAATAACGGGCACATGTTTAAACCAAAACCCGGACGATTGTCTACATTGTATATAGATAATGGTTCCATGCCCATCATTTTTTTCTATTTATGGAAACACTCTCTTGCCCTCGGTGTAAGAGAGGGATGGATGCTGTCATGGACGAATTCTCTGTACCTAAGACGGACTATGCCTCTTTTTTTTTTTTTTTTTTTTTTTTTTTTTTTTTTTTTTTTTTTTAGGGAACACGTTAAAAATAAAAAAACGTTTAAAGCAAAGCAAAGAGCTCGTGAGACACTTGTGTAAGGCATTGACTTGAATAGCGCTGTTCTGTGGTGTGTTCATGGATTTCTCTGTGCGTGCTTGTGTGTGATGGTGCACAGGCACGTATACACACACAGACCAACATGGGAGAACGAACATGTCCACAAGAGGTTAAAGACTTATGAAAAAGTCCCCTTACGCTGTCTAAAGGAAAATGTTTTATGTATCAAAGGTAACTTAACTGGTTTTAAGTGTAGCCCCCTCAGTAGCTGTGATCTATTAGTTTTTCTCCACATTCCCTATTGCATTTATTTAAAGAAATATTGCTATAAAGACTGTTGCTGTCTTCATATTTGGCACCGTCTAAATAGTTTGGGTCCATGTACAATTTGTGGATTTTTGGTGTAATGTATAACAGTGCCAAATGCTAGTAATAAAGATTATTCTGTACAAAAGAATTAAACGCTTGAAACACAAGTCCACTACGTGCTGTTTCATCCACCTTGTTCTTGGCCAGTGTTGGCATCAGGAATGGAAAACAAGAGTTTAATGCATTGTTTTGACTTGGATTAATTTTGTCAATAAGGTAATGGTTATTTTAAATGTGGTGAAAAACCTCCTGACTCCTACTTGCCTGGCTGGGAAAAATTGAGTTGCAGGACGAGGAAAGGTCTTGCTTCATTGTATAGGTGAGTGGTGCTCTCTTTAGCTGACTTAGACAGAATGAGTCTCACTCCACCGCTGGCCGTGCGACTGTTTTCAGCTGCCTGACAAGAGAAACTGTGCTTCTTCTGGGAGCCAATAAGCTCCCATGATGTGATAACACTTTAAATATTTAGCCAGTCGTGGTTTATTCATTCATTTTCGCCTGATTATGATTTCTGAGCTGGCTAGCACTTTTAAGGGGAGTACATGAACGGTAACCAAAAATTTCTTTTTAAACTGCCTTTTCTGTTTCCATTTCCTTTTTTTTTTTTTTTTTTTTTTTTAATTTTGTTTTTGTTTTAAGATTATTACAAAATGTGTTGAGAAAGCCTTGGTAGACACATGAATTTGCAAAGAACTCATGAAGCTTTTTTGACCGAAATTGTCACAACCACTGTGGCAAAAAGGGATTCAGCTGGTTCCAGCTTAGGCTGTGCATCTTCCTGCTTCCAGGCAGCTAAGGAGTTCAGGCAAAGCAGAGCTGCTAACAGAGAGCCCTGCTTGGGGCTTTCACAACACGGTGTAGAACTGAGCTGTGTAGGAAAATCTTGGAAAGGAGCTCAAGTGCTACTAAATCTTCCAGGGAAGACCTGAAGGCCAATAGTTATTTATTTACTCACCCAAATACATACAAGATGGATTCTTGGAATCAGTACTTGTCTTCACCTAAGTGGGACCACCAGGACCAGGGGGCATCATCATCCCTGGCCGAGGTAGCACCAGGCCCCAATGGTTGTGCCAGCATCCCTGCCCAGCCATGGAAATGTACCATCCCAGAGAAAAATGTAGCATTCCACTGGCAGAACACGTTCAGCATCAGGGAGGTGGCAGCTGTAAACACCCTCAGCAAACACGGCTGTCCCCATACCTGGCCAAGGAGCAGGCCTGAAAAGCACACTTCTGCTCACATATTACTGTTTATTAAATTCTGAGTCGCCAGTTGTCTCCTTATAAAGGGGGAAAAAATATAGCTGTATGTCAGGTAACTACTATCAGCAAATGCGTAACTCTTCATTTTGTTTATTGCTTGAGAATTCCTTAATGTATTTAGAGCCAAAATTAGCACAACTGAGCAAAATTCCAGCTGAAACGTATTAACTGGCAGTGCAGGATTTCTTTAGTGTGCAGCCTATGTGTATAAACCTGGTTTGCTCCCATTGTAAAGAGAAATGAAATCACGCTGCAAATAGCAATTTTAGCGAGAATCATTAATCACCTCCTACAATAAATACTTCTTTGTAATTCAACAGCGGTTCTGAAAGGCATTCTCTTGGAAAAGTCTGTGAAGACGCAAAGGATTTTCCTGGGGGAAAAAAAAAAGTGGTCATGTGTAAAGACACAGCATCTTGGCTGTCTCCTAAAAAAATGTACATTCTCTTGCTGGAGATTGAACTGCGGACTGCAAAATACCCCATGGCCGATTATCATCGTTTAAGGTAAATTCTCCTTCCTTCTCTTCCCCTTGTGCCTGTGTTGGGAGCAGAATGCTGCTCCCGGGCTGGGAGCCCTCTGCTCCCCGTCCGATACCTCCCATCTTTACAATAAGCTCAAAAATTACATCGTCCTGTTTAAATTCTCGCATTGTGCTCCCTTTGCTAAGGCAACCAGGAGTTCACCGAGAGGACAAATTTTCTATCCCATTAATTGTTTTTTTTAGAGGAGCAGACTGACCCTTCAAACCCTTGACCTTTAAAGACAGTATTCTTTTTAATCCGGCACTTGGACCTAAATGTCTCTCCCCCCTCCCTCTCTCTCGCTCTCCCGGTGTCTCTCACACACGGATTTATCTGCTCTGGCCACAAAGGCGAGCACAGCTCAAAACGCTGGAAGTGGAAGTGTGTCAATATTTCAAAGAAAGACCAAATCACCTCGGAGTCAATTTGCTGTCAGCAGGGAACGCCACTCGGTTAACCCCGGCACCCACCTCCCCTCCACCCACCAAGAAAAATACTCCTCTTCTGAGATCCCCATCCTCCTTTCTCCTGCAAGATCTTGCTATACCTGGTGTTTCATTACAGGAGGAGCTGAACTGTGACAAGGGCCTTGTGGTATTTAATAACCAGGGCCATCCCGCATCGGGGGTTTACGCAATGCTAGGAATTTTTTTTTCTTTGTTGTTTTTTTTTTTCTTTTTTGGTTTTTTTTTTTTCTTTTTTGGTTTTTTTTTTTTCTTTTTTCCTTTTTTTTTTTTGCCCCCTCCAAGGTGCTTGCACTCCCAGGTCTTCTTGTCCTGTGTTTGTAAACGAGGAAGGGGTGGGGGGAGCCCTCACGCAGGCGGAGATCCGGACAGGCTTGCGGTGGAATCCCAGCCCTCCCGGCCCCCGCCTGGGCTCGGGGCCGCGCTCGGGCAGCCCGGGCTGGCCCGCCGTTCCCGCACCCCCGCCCGAGCCGGGCGAGCGCGGCCGCGGCGCCCCGCCCGTCACGTCCCGCGGAGGCGGAGGCTCCAGCCGTGTCCGCAGCCTCCCGGCCTGGCCGGGCCGCGGCGGGGTGGGACCCCGGGCTGTCGCTCCAGGGCTGTCCCCTCCTGCGCGGGGCTGCGCGGGCGCCCAAGCCCGGCCCACGCGGGTCCCGGCGGGGCCGGGGCTCCCCGCGTGGGCAGGGGAAGCTCCGCGGCCGCCTCCCTGCGGCCCCGGGCAGCCCTGCTGGCTCCGCCCGGGCCCGCGGACAGGCAGCACTCACCCGTGGAAGACGGCCCGGGCGATGCCGCTCTCCCGTCCCCCTGCCAGCAGCGCAGAGCCCCCTCCCCGCTGCAGAAAATGACGATTTGGGTTCAACTGATTCATTTGGAGTGGGGGGGGCGGAGGGTGTAAAGTTGCCCCGGCTCGCTGTGCTGAACGGGACAAACCCTTGTTAATAATGCCCCAGAGCTCTCCCTGGAAACTGAGGAGCTGTCAAAGGCAGGAGAGATTAGGGGACCCAAGTACGAGCATCCCTGCGCTCGCAGATAAAGGTGTTGCGTCTGTTCTGGGGGAGATATTGAAATTTTAATCTTTAGGGTCACGTGACTCATTAAATAATTAATGCAGATAGTCAGGAATGGATCTGTGGCCGTCAGTCCTCACTAGGAGTGATTCTCTCAGAAGTGAAACTCAACTCCTTGTTACTGGAGTTTGTTTTTCTTTCTTTCTTTCTTTCTTTCCTTTTTTTTTTTTTTTTTTTTTTCTTTTTTTTTTTTTTTTTTTTCCTTTTTTTTTTTTTTCCCTTTAAAAAAAACCCACCTGATTTATCTTGAAAGATTCTAAACTTCTTAAGCAAGCAGTAGGGTCTGTGTTGGTAAGTAGGTAGTGTGTATTTCTAGCTTGATGACTTTAATTGTTTGTGCTTGCTTTGTCTGCTGAGCATTTGCTTAACAAGTTTAATATTTAGAAATGTTAAATCTTTGTTTTAGCTGCCTTGTGGTCACATTATGGCTTTTGGTGATTAAGTGTTACGGAGGCAAACACACTTGATAATGTTCTAATTCACACTGTGGAAGGCTGGGTGCCACAGTGCAGGAGGACCTGCTTTGTTCAATTTTCCTGGCGTTAATAAATCACCGTCTCTTAATACATGGCCAAAAAAGCAATGGAAAGGCAGTGAGCATTGCAAAGGAAAAGTCATGGGCGAATTTCTCTATGACTCATTAGTCTGAACGATTTATGTACGAACTTTGAGTGCCGCAATGAATATTAGAGCTTGGGATAACAACAAATTAAAAAAAAAAAAAAGAAAAAAAAAAGAAAAAAAAAGTCATAGTTTTTGTAAAGTGCTTTATTGCTACTTAGCAACTCTTTCAAGAAACAGCATACTTTAAAGGACCGTGGCAGTGTAAAATATGGTAGCGTGACCTAATAGCTCCAAAATAAATAACAGAAAGTCGCTGGAACCATTTTCAGATACACGCTCCATATTTAACACGAGTGGGACAACCCAGTCTCGACACGCTTGATCGATGATTATTGCTGTTTGTAACATGATTATTGATTAGGGATCAAAACGGCTAAGGTACGACTTTGAGCCTAAAATGCCGGGGGGTTCCCCCTGTGCTGAAGCCGAGTGGAAGGAAAGGTAGAGCTAAGGATAACCCCAGGAAGCAGCGCCCGGGCTCTGTGATTGCAGTTCGAACTTTCCATTTTCTTTTGTGTTTGCCAGTAGATTTTAACAGTCAGCGCTCGCAAATTTATGAGACAGCAATAAACAGTTTAGTAGGCTATTATTGCATGATTTTATGTAGACTGGAGTTCAACACCAAATTTAAAATTATTAGCGTAATTATGGAACTACTAAATTACCAAAGCAAAGTATCTGCTCGAAAAGTTGTCCCAAGACAGACTTAATATTTCCAGGGCTCAGATAACATCCTTCAGCAAGAACGGTGTTATTTAATTATTAGCATTTACATTTACTGACGATTGTAAGATGCGTTAGATGGGTTTTATTAGCAAGACTGAATACAGATGTAAAATATTAATTCATATATAAGAGTGATTCAGCAAGTGGCATGCAAATAACCTGACCATTGTCCTTTTGGACCAGCAATACTGTTTATTTTAGGGGAAAAGAAGCAACCCAGTTTTTTTCCCCTCTGTCAATGGCTTTCATGGATGTCGACTTTTTCGTATCTGTTTTTGGTGTGTGTGTGTTGTGTTGGTGGATTTTTTTTTTTTTAAGCATTTGGGCCCGATCCCGCTTCGCTGAGGTCAATTGTTAGTCTCTTAGTGAGCTTGTGGTGGCAGGATTGGGCCCCGGCTAACCGTCTGAATAAAAGCCCAACCACAATACGCCCCGCATTTAAACTGGAATCCTTTCCGAGTTTTATTCAGCAGAGATGAACACCACGACTTGTGTTTAATGTCTGTTCTTGATTAAATGATCCTAAACAAAGGTTTCCCAGAGGAAAATAAAGCAGACATTCATGTAACAAGAGTTAGGAATGACAATATTTCCAAACACTTGGAGACAGAAGGCATAGCTGTCTACAGGGAAAAAAAATAACGAAAAAAACCCAACCAAAACAACCGCACGCTTTTATTTCTCAGCTCCCCGTGCTCTTCACCCGGGTGGGAATCCACGCTCCTCGCGGGAGCCCGAGCCCGCTCCATCCCCTCCCGCCCCTCTCCGGGCTCTCCCAGCGCACCCGGCAAACCATGTACTGCCAATGAAGGAGCAAAATACCTCCCCCTGCACTCCCCGGTAAGGCACTGTTTGTTGCTTGTTTACAGGGAGCCCCGAAACGAAGCCGCTCGGCCGGGGCGGTGGAAGAAGCTGGGAGCGCCTCAGCCCAACCCTGCGCAGCTGGAGGAGGTAAGAGCCGGGCAGCGGCCGCTGCTTTTGCGCCGGTGGCAGCTGTAAGAATGCGATTTGCCTGGTACCTGCGTGAAGAACAAGACTGCTGGAATGAGATTTTGTTGTTGTTGCGATAAATATTTAACCTAGCTGGAATTTTTTTTTTTTTTTTCTGGATTGGCTCTATTCATCTTCCGTGGGTGGTGAATGCGCGTGTCTGGGCAGACAAAGAAGTGTACGGGACCTGAGTGATCGCCATCCTTATAAAGGCATTGGGGACAGGAAGGATGCAAAGTCATCTGAAGAGCGAAAGAGTTAGAGAATTTCTTTGTCCGTTCTTAGCTCCTTCCGAAATCAAAGGCACCAGGCGAGGGAGAGAGGGTTGGAGCCAGTTCGGTATTGAATGGCTGCTTATCGCGGCTTGTCTGTTCGCCTCCTCCTCGAGGGGTTCCGCAGCCAGTCCTGGAAACGAGAAGTGCATGTGGGGATGTTAGAAAACCTGATTTTTGTCTGCGTGCATACAAGAGAATGGTTCGCGAATAAATTTCGGGTATTTGTCCGTCCTGGCCTGCTTTGCACTGAGTGGAGGTCGGTGTCTGGTGGTTCGGAGTTGCTGAAGTCCTTGATGTGCTTGGTCCTCTGGCAGGAGAAAAGAAATGCTTTCCATAGTGACAAATTTTTTTTAATGCCGGCCGAAGAGAGGGGAGGATTACATAGAATTAGCTCAAATTCCTGCTAGATTTACCTGCTCCTTTTTGGATGTTGATGTACAATTAGTGTATTTTACTACCTTTTAAAAGCGGCCATAAATTACAGGATTACAAGGGCTCTTTGTGTTGGCTTAATGAGCTGCTTAAATCTTAACTACAAAAAGGCGCTGCAAATGTCTATTCACGCTTGCGTTCGGAAATTGAAAGCGAAAACACGAAGGTACGAAGGAACCTTCCTCCTGTGGCATGTACCCACAGCATGGCGGGCAGAGATATTTGGGATTCCTTAACGGACCCAACGCCGGCAGTCTCAGCTGACTCTGAGCAGAACTTCTCTCACAAGGGCACAGTCGATAACGCTGCTCTTTTTATCTACTTGGGAATGATCAAAGACCAACTTTATCAGGCGCACGGACGTAGGTGAACAGTTCTGCACCCCAGCAGATTGCAAATCTTTCGAGGTAGCGAGGAAATAAGTACTTATATCGTACGGGTGATGGTGATTCCCATTTCTTCTCCACATGGGAGTGATAGGCATACCTCTTACCGACTGGCATGCAAGTAAACCTGAAGCACAGTAAAAATTCTAACTCTAATTACAGTGAAGGTATCTTCAAATATCATTAATGCTAAGACTGGCTATTAATGCCAGAACGGGCACAAAGGGTCTCCCTTAATGAAGGCACGTTATGAACTCAGATCTGTTTGTTGTTACTGGGGCTGGAATTCAAACTCAGCTCCAAGGCATGTGTATAAAGCACAGAAAAGTCAGTAGTACATCTACTGATAAACTCCACATTTTTTCTACTAGAAACAGTCTTTCGGGTCTCCAAATCATCAAGGTAAACAACGTTGAGTGTCCAGGAACAGGAACAAAGCAAGAAACGGTGTGGCTAGGGAAGTCTAGCGCCTGCGACTCGCAGCATCATTTGAATTTGCATCTGAAATCTCGTAATCAAGCTACTAGAGCAAAGAAAACTTTCTACAAATTTGGCGGAAGAGAATAATTTTCAGCTGCAATTCAGGACAGCACAAAGTTAGGCAGACTCCCCCTTCTGCCTTCCCACAGCACACTCTGTGAAAGGTATTCACACGTCAAGAAGTTACTTTTCTTAAGAATTAATTAGTTTCCCCACTATATACACCAAGTTAATTGTTAAACAGTAGTTTTAGGATTAACTTGACCATTAATACCAATAAAGATGTTCACAGAAACAAGGTTTTGAAGCCAATAGCCGCAGCTAGCGTTAAGGCATTTCAGATGACTTATGATTGTGATTTATTGCTTTTGTAGTTTCTATTTGCTCAGGACTGTAACTTCTAAAGCCATCTTTCTACTTTTGATGCAAAGCAGTCGATAACTTTTTACAACAGCCCCAAGAAAGACTTGCTTAGCTTTTTTCAACATCTGCTCCATTCCCCATTAATTTCAGTTTCATTGTTGCATTTCAGTTGTGCGCTTCCTCTATGGGATGCAAACGCACCAAATTTAAAAGAGCGGTGAATCCATCTCAAGCAAATATCGGCCTTGGTTTACAATAAGTATGAGAGCTGTGGAGTCACCAGGCAAGCTAATAGTTACAGACTCGGGCATGTCAAGTGTGCCTAATGCCCCCTCTTTTTTAGGATATTTGTAGTTTTTATTCCAGTTCCTAGTGAGGGATAATGCATGCATACCCTGGATACTAACTTGGTCACTTCCTTAAGAAAAATTGCAAAGTTTTCTCCTGCTGTACCGCCACACTGACTTTGCTGCAATGCCACTACTGTACACTGTTACGAATGGGTTTACATTCCAGTGGCCCACTTTTACAATTCAGGCGACAGTATAATAAGGCTTGTCACTAACAAACCTTACACTAACACTAAAAGTCATCTTTAAAAAGAAACCGCCTTCCATTCTGTTCAATGAAGTGTAGGTGAAACAGTAAGAGGGGATATGTAGTTATCTTCTTTGAGCTTATGGGAGATGGTGGAAAGATTTGGGCAAGGGTGCATGTATGATGGTGCACAATGCTGGAGCCACAGAACTGAACCAGCAAAAAACCACGGCAAAAGAGTGAACTGTCTGATTTACTTTGACTCCTTCCAGAAAAGTTGTGTGAGTGGAGGGTTTCTTTTGTTTGTTTAGCTTATTGTGTCAATAGCACAAGTTAAACAATCTTACAGGGAAGATGTGATGAGTTCACACACAGTCGAAGCTGCCTGGCTCAGGGGCCACATACAACTTTGCTTTTTTTCTTTTTTTCTTATTTTTTTCCCCTTAGGCAAAGAACTCCCCCTCCCCAATTTTTTTTTTCTTTTCCAACGCTAGAAACCTATAATTTTGTGCATCACTCAAACTAGCTGTATAGGAAATGCGTAAGCACAGGTTTAACAGCAAGGTCCCAAAAGATTTTGCAAAATTCAGAGGCACGCCAGTGAAGGAAGGTGTATTCTTCATAGTGTGTTACGAGGACAAAAATCAACTAGCCTCTTAGAAGAGACTCTTTTTTGCCTTTGTCAGGTAATTATAGGTCTTTTTAGTTTCTACAGGAGCCCTGATGTAGCGTGTGGGAGTTGAGCAAGCCCTGTACAATGGCAGTGTAGAGGGAGCTGGGGGTGGGGGGAAGGCTGGTAATCGTCCCGTTTTGAAGGGGGCTGGAAATAATAGCATTAAGATTTGGGCTTTCTTCGGGGCTTGCAGAGGACATGCGACGTGGAGCAGAGTGGCGGGCCTCGGGAGCAAACGCCGGCTAATTAGGCTAAGTATCGAAGTGCAGCGTTATAAGAATTCCTCTTACCTTCCAATGGGTTTTGTGTAAAGAAATATTGATGTGGGAGGAAAGAAAATCAGACCAATCTCCCCCCACAGTCATCTGCATCTCTTAGATTTTTTTTTTCCCCTCCCTTAAAACTCTTCTTTAACATATTGGGTTAAGGCTTTAAAAAGCGAAGGCTCGCGCTAAGAAACCCTGTTCCTTCAATGATTCCCTATTTCAAATAAAAGGATTTAAGTTGACGTATGACCACGTGAGCACATAATACAGCGCATTATTGTGGCATTTGGAGTGGAGACCCGGTCTGGCTCCGTCTGCGATTACGCTTTTCCAGTTTCTGTTCAGAGCAAGCACTGCTTTCTATTATTTTTTTTTTCCTTCTGCCCCCATCACCGTCCCCACAAGAGCTGGCCATTTCGCTGACAGCTTTCGTTCCTTATGGAAAGGTTATTGTCGAGCCGAGAGGACGAAATGCTTCGTTAGAAAGGATGGATTTTATTTTAAGGTATTTCCGTTGATTGTTCATTTATGTGGTGAGTTATTGCTGTTCGAGGCAAAGGTCAGTAGCAGAGGCTGGAGTGAGTGCGTGTGTGTGCGTGCGGGTGTGTGTGCACCCGGAGCCAGGCTGCTTCCCCCTTTGTTTCAATTTGCTGTGGTAAATATTCAACTCTACCCTTGCAGCGAGCAGAGCAGGCAGAGTTTGCTTCTTTATTTATTTTTCTCCATAGAGATCCCACACTGCTGTTGATGGCCAGCTGCCTCCGCTACAGCCCCTCGATTGCCATTTTACCATTATTTATGGCCGGCTGGAGATAGGAAGCCTCTTTTATTGTCGTGTTTGAATATTTCCCCCCTTAATTTTATTCTATTATTTTATTTGTGTGTTTGTGTGTTTATTTATTTATGTATTTGGGCAAGTCGGAGAAAACGATGTGGGGGGTGTGTGATGCTCCTCTGTCGGGGTCGTGCTCGAGTGTGCGGCGGCGGTTGTTGTTTTATGGGTGTTTGTTCGGCCGCTGCCGCTCCGTAAATCGATGACTGTGCGATCGTGCTGCCATTTTATTTATGATGCTTTAGTGGTACTTTGTTTATTGTGCGAGGAGCGCTGCATGAGTGCTCAGCTCTATGGCAAAGCTTCCCCTTCCCAAATGAGCCAGGGCGCTCCTCTTTATTTCTCCGCGGTGAGAAGGAGCTGAACCAAGAGCCAGCCACGGCTTCTAACAATAAATCAGCCTTGAAAATGTGGGGGTTTATTCTGCCTCTCTGACTGGGGATCTGGAAAGAGAGAATCAAAAGGAGAGGAGTGGAAAGTATCTTCTAGGAAAACATATACTAGCTCTAAATTAATATCCATGCCGTCGTATACATAAATATAGATATATCCATATATATAAATATGTAAGTATTTGCGTATACTTATCAATGTGAATGCACAGATATAAATGCACTTTAAATGACAAAAATTAAAGATTACTTGGCTATCCAAAGAGGGCAAAACGCTAAATGAAACCCTGTTTCCGCGGTCTGCCCCGGCTTTGGGAAAGGTTGGAGCCCTGGGACTCTCTTTCCTCCAGTTCGTTCCATGCCTCTCGCTTATTCTTGTTGAGCCATTTTGTGTCCAGTTACGCGCTGTTTGTAATTGCTCGTCTTCTAAGGGGTCAGAAAGAGAGGGAGAGAGGGAGAAAAGTGAACGATGATAAAAACTCCGCTGAGAGCACCAGAAAAAAAAAAGGTTATTTCCACTAGGAACTATTCGCGGCCATTCTGCAGAGAACTTCAGGGTGATGTTTGGGATGGTCTCACGTTTCCCTGCTTTTTAAAGCCGCTCTCGAAGCAGAACTGACCCAAATAAATTTTATTTCCCCTTCTCGTCACACTGAAGCACGATGTCTCTCTCTTCAGCAAGGGAAGGAGAGCTCTTTTGCTCCCATCTGTGTGTTTAAAAGCCAACATTGGCGTTGCCGTATTTTGAAATGGGCCAAAATGTGCCTCAAAAATAAAATCCAAGCTTTAATTGCAGTTAAATTACTTGGCAGTCTTTCCTCTGATTTATGACCCAGTTTGGATGCATATTGACCCAGTTAAAACACTCATAAATAATACAGTCCTGCTCTAGAGTAAAAGAAAGCAAGAAGAGTTCTGGAGGAAAGGGGGATTTCGGCGAGTTGTGTAAATAACTTCAGTCTGTTGAGCAAATAGCAGAGTGCCTTGCCTCTCTAGTGTTAGAAAATATAAACAACAATTTAGATTGACCACGGCTTGCTTCGATTGTCCAGTCCTTCTCTAATTCAGCTGATATCCCCTTCTAACTCTCTAACGACTTGGACAAGCACCGCTTCCAGGAGTGGCCCACTTCTCCCTCACCTCCCTGCCTTGCTATTTCATCTCTAAGAGATCCCCCAGAAAGAGCCCTGAATTATGGTGCTGCCTGCTTCCATTTCGGGGCATCCAAGGACAAGGTGCTTTACAGGCATTATTTTATTCGGAAAATAGTAATTCGGGGGAGGTGGGGGGGAGGGAGGGGAGGGAGTGCCACAGAGTGGGACTCTTCGGGGAGAAAAGGCAGGTCATTTCTGACTCAGAAATCAGCCCCAAACACTGCCCGTCCCCCAGTCCCGTCCCNNNCCCCCCCCCAAGCTGAGCCCTATCTCTCTCCGTGGAATGGAGCAGAAAGAAAATATTCGGCCTCTGGGAGGGAAAGACAGATAAAAGCAGCGGGGTTCTGTGCGTTGGGACACTTATCCCGACATCATAGGAGACATTAAAAAAAATAATCATCTTCTCATGTTTAAAATTACCTCTTTGGGGAGAGGGGGGTCGTGGGGAAATGGGACTAATTGGAGAAATCTCGCAAAATACACTTTCCAGGCAGCAAGATGAATGGAAGAAACGCTTCCATATTCCTACGAACCACTTCGGTTCTCACGATTAAAGTGCTTACATACCCTTCCATTTCTTAAAAAAAAACTCCCTCCGCTTCCCGTTCCCCGTTCTTAAATACAGACATTTGGTCAGAAAATCCCGCTGGAGATGGCTCCCAAGTTGAAACGCGCTCTTAGGAAAAAGTCGCCCGGTTTTCGGCGGGGCCCCCAAAACAGGCAGGCTCCCCGGTGTCCGCAGGTTTCGGCAGTCCCCATCTTTTCTCTCCCTGTCCAAATCCTCCTCGCCAGTCCGGGGGGCTCCGCCGGGGCTCAGCGCTGCCTCTCAGTATTTGGCCGGGCAAGTGGGCGAATGGCAGATCAGCAGTTTCAGAAGAAAGTGTGGGGTTGATTATTGACTAAAAAGACTTTTTTTTTTTTTTTTCTTCCAAAGCAACATTCACAGGATTGTTTGAAGCAAAACGCATACGAAGGATTTTTGCCTCTTCTCTCCTCCTACGCTGGCCGCTTCCCCTTTCATGTGGTGCCTTCTCACTTATGCCATAAGGAGCAAGTGTTTTCTGTTTTAGTGCTCTGTTTACAGCTTTGGTGCACGAAGTCATAAATCTTGCATAGCCATAAATGACAAAAACCATTGGTATGCGTAAGAGGCCACCCCAGCCTTATAGTGCTTTTTATTTCTCGCTTCCCCCTCGCTTTGTTTGTGTTTAAAGATGACGCTGGGTTCCCTCGTGCTTTAAACGGACTAGTTATATTTATAATGCCTTAATTAACGAAGTAACGTCAAGTTTACACCTAGATTTTATTCTTAGGCTCCGCTTAATGCTCGGAGCCCAGAGCCCCGTTACCGTCTGCCAGACGGGAAGGATCCCCAACTTTGTTTAAGTTCTCGTTTGCACGGTCGCTGCGGTGTTTCTGGTGCAGGAAACTGGGGGGACACCACCACCCCCAAACCCCGCGGGGCTGAGGAAAGAGGCCAGATCCTTCCTCAGCTGTGCCGCGGAAAGAAGGCGAAGGCGAGCTGCGAGGAGCCGGGCCCGCGTCCACGCGAGGCTCCCACCCACGCATCCCCACGGGGTGCTGCGGGCACCCCGACCCGTCTGTGCAGCACATGTGCGTGCGTGAGCGCCTCTGTGCCCGTCCTGGGCGCTGGAGATATTTGAGGGGGGCAGGGGGTGTCTGTGTGTACATCTGTGTGTGTGTGCGCTCACGCATGCATGAGTTAATAATTAGTAACTCTAATGATTTCCAGCGTGGCTCTGAAAGCATTGCCCAGAGCGGGGATCCTGGTGGGCTTCGGTTGGCTCTCCGGACCCAGCCCCGGCTCTCCGGGCTTTGCTCCCCTCCCCGGGACTCAACCGGGGCTGTGCGGGGCTCCCGGCAGTGGGGAGCGGCAGAGGGGCTATTCTGCAGCTGCCCCCCAAGCCCACCGGTAAGAGGGACAAACTCAAACCCCCACAGCAGCACCCTGGAGGCTGGTGAGAGCGACCCTTTGTGAGCGCCGTTTGTCTTCATTAGCATAATTTTCCTGGACTTCGGTGACGCCCGGGTGCGGGGGGGCCGCACTCCTTCACTGCCGTGCTCCTGCGCTCCCTCCCCAGCCCCCACCCTGCCCCATGCTTCCCCAGGCGGCCGCCTTTCTTTCTTCCTTCCTTTTTTTTTTTCTTTTTTTAATATTTTCCTATTTTCCCCGCTCCAACTCCCCCCCACACCCCCACCCCCCTCCTTCCCTCTTTCTCCTTCCCTTCCCAGAGCAGCCCTGGGAAACATCCCCGTCCTCCGTGCCCCGCACAGGGGGAGCACGGTACGCCGAGGACCGGCTCGGGGTAGGGTGCGCAGCTGGAAGCGTCAGGGGAGCGGGGTAGGCGGGTGTGCGGAGCAATCGACCCCATCCCGTGCGGGGCAGGACTCGCCCCTCTCGGCCGGGGGGTGCCGGGTGCCGATAAGCTGAGCCGGTGCCCACCCCGAGGCCGCAGGGATCGAGTTGGGGCAGACAGCCCCTACTCTCTGGGTTGTGTCGCCTCCAAAAAAAAAAAAAAAAAAAAGGAGAGAGAGAGAGAGAGAGGGAGAGAGAGAGAGAGAGCATGCTGGCTTCCGCCTCAGTCGTCAGAAGTTAAGGTAAGCAGGCCACAAATACGCTGCTATCAGTCGTGAATGGCGGAGTTTATGTCCCAGTGATTTATGACCGTAGACTTAAATGTCGGTTCAAGAAGAGTTCACAAGCTGGGGCTTCCTTCCAGGCAGTGACTGATACCCTTACACTTCGTGTTCAGGCAGCTCTCTCTCCTCTCTTCCCCCCACCCCCCACCTTCCCTCAACTTTGTCTTTATCTTTCAGGAAATCTTTCAGGGGGGCTGCCTGGTTTTTCGTCCTACAGTCAGAGTTTGGGGCTCGGTTGGGAGTTACGGGGTAAAGATCTGGTGTGCTTGGGAAGGGCGGGGGGAAGCGCAACGAAGGAGAGGGTAGGAGAGAGCTGAAGTAGGGAGTGGGGAAAACCAAGCGGACTTGCCTTCCCAAGCAATTTTCATCTGCTGTTTCTGGGCTGTCTGGGTGGAGGGAGAGAAGTTGGTAAAGTGCAGAGCCTTGTATTGCACAAACCGAGACGGAGCCGATAAAACAGGCATTGGAAAGCTTGGGGACCCATTTGTGTTTGTAAAACCTGCCTTTTTGTCTTCGAAGGGGAGAGGAGAGCTCTGCCCATCCCAGACACCGGCTGGGGTGGTAAATCCACCTCCTCTCCCCTTTCCCGTTAGGACGCTGTCGAGATCGTTGTCGCTCTTAATCCCGCTATTCCCACTTTCTCCTGGAATGACCGGGCGCTCCTCAGGTTACCCCCGCTTCTCTATAACTTTGTAGGAAGTGATTAACTTGGCGAACCCAAACTCGGGATCTGATTTTTTTTTTTTTTTTTAACTTGCTGGCAGACGGCCGAAGCTCCAATAATATTTTGCCTTCCAAGTAAAGTTGCCTATTGTCTGCAGGCCGGCAGCTACGGGAGCAGCGCACCCCGCATCCTCGCTCCGCGCTGCCCGTCCTGCCAGCGCCACAAAACTTCGCAGCGGCCGAAGGAAGGTGAAATATTTGATGTCGCGGTCATGAAAGGCGGGTGCCTTTGTGAAATCACCGCTGGCTGATTGTTTCCTCCTTCTCCTCTGGTAGTGGTGTCTATAGTCTCTCTTTCAAAGGAATTGAGAAAAATCACACCAGGCCTCGATAGCAGAGGCAAGGAGAGGCGAGGAGCTGGAAATTGTGTATGCGCCTCAGATCTCCACTTGCTTATTAGCTTAATAGCATCCAAAGAGCTTGATTAGTGCAATAACAGGGTAACCGCCCTGCTGTAGGTGTGTTACCTTCATTTTGTTACGATCTAACAAAGGGAATACTGTTTTCTAAGAACTTGTATAACTTGAAAGGCGTAGAATGAGCTCGTTTGGTGCTTGTGTTGTGTAAGGCTTTTCACCCCTAAGCATTTGTCCTCGTTAGATGTTTTTTGGGGAAAATATCCAGCTGCTTAAGTACAGGGAAAGTGGTAAAAGGAAAGAGGCTCTTCTGATCTGAAAAGACGTGGTTATTTGCCAGCAAGGGGTTAGGAGGACGGTGAGAAACATACTTCAGTTTCTGAGAACAATGTAAGTGCGTGTGGAAACACCTCCTAGATCGGAGGTTATGCACAGGTCTCCTCTCTCATTAATACCGGCGATTCTTTAATTGGTTATTTTCAGGCAAAAAAAAAAAAGGGGGGGGGGAAGGGATTCGCCCGGGCAGGAGAAGCATTCTCTGAGTTTGTGTCCACCCTCTCCCCAGCCAAGTGACCCTCATACATCAAATTACATAGCAGTTTCCAAGACAGAACCTATTATCGCTAAGTTGGAAGGAAAGTTCAAGCCGTGGTCATGGAGATGAACGCTGGTTTTTCAGGTTTCTGGTGTGTTTTTTTCCCCCAATCCATCATGTTTTAACAGGTAGGATCTGGCTGATTCCACGAAAAGTTAGTGTCTTGAAAATAACTGCTGAAAAAAACAAACCAACGACCGCCCCTGCTGGCCTCTCTGGAGGGGCTCTGAGCGGCGCCGGGCGCAGTTGAGGCCGGACCCACTCGCGAGTGGGAGGCAGGCTCGGGGCTCGGCGGAACGGCCCAAGCCGCGCTCCAGGACCGAGAGGGAGCCGCTGCGGGCGGCGGGCGGGGCTCGCCCGGGCAGAAACCACTGCTGCCAGGGTGCGTGACCTGGGCGGCTCGGGGTGGTGTGCGGGCACGGCGGGGAGAAGCTGCTGGCTTCGTTTATTTTCCTATCGAGCATTTCATAGACAAGCCCAAATCCATCACTTGGGTAGGGGTGTTTAAATATCCCTGCCTAGGAAACCTTTCCACCCTGCTCCTGCCCCCTGCCACACGTAGACAGGAGCCATCTCTTATATTTCTTTGAAGTTGTATGAAGAGCCGTAACCAGGAGGGAAAGGCTAAAAATAAAGCAAAGCTGGTTAAAGGAGAGGGTTTGATGTTAGAGTTGGACTGAAGTAATAGCCCAGCCCCTTTGCATTACCGATTCCTCGATCACCCTTATCTCAGAGACCGGTATTAAAACAGCCTCTTGTTGATAAACCATCAACCCGCTTGCTCTGTTCCTTAAGAAGAAAGAAATAATAATAATAACAAAACAAACCTAGAAAGCCTCTATCCCGGTGCAGCAAAGCACATATTTGTAGCTGCCAGTAAATCCAGGCAGCTTTTATATCGAAATGCTCCACGCCTGAGGCCAAGTCATGCTGCTAAATATTGCTGACCACTTTTTCTTTTATGGCTTTCATGTCACTTAGCTATTGAAAGTAAGATGGATTTGTACCATTTCTTCACCCTGCTCTGCTCTCCCCACACCCCAGGTCTGCCCGGAGAGGCCATTGGAGGAAGAGCGCCACGTGACAGAGGGGTGCCAATGTTATTCTCCAAGGGTGTCAAGACCCTGTCAGTTTGCGAAATAAATATTGGGAAACAACGAAATGCAAAAAGCGACCTACTACGACAGCTCTGCAATCTATGGTGCCTACCCCTACCAAGGAGCAAATGGTTTCACTTATAATGCGAGTCAGCAGCAATATCCTCCATCTTCATCACTTGTGGAAACTGAGTACCACCGCCCCGCGTGCTCCCTCCAGTCCCCTGGCAGCTCTGTGTCCCACCACAAGGCCAATGACATCAGTGAGAGTTGCATGAGGACCCTCCCCAGCCAGACTCTCCAGCCCCCCAGCCTCGCTGACCCACAGGCTCCACCGCAGCCGCCTCCAGCCCAGCAGTCACAACCTCCACCTCCGACCTCCACCTCACCACCTCAAAATGCCAGCAGCAACCCTGCCCCGGCCAACCCCACCAAGAGCCCAGCTCTTAACTCACCCACCGTGTCCAAACAGATATTCCCATGGATGAAAGAGTCTCGGCAAAACACAAAGCAGAAAAACAGCAGTTCCAGTTCAGGTATGAAATATGCTCCCCCTCTCCCTGGGTATTCCTGGGCTGACTATGCATCTGGTGGGGAGGAGGGCTGTTTTATCCACCTTCACTTCAGGGAGGGGAGGGTGGGGGCTTTTTCACCCTCTGAGCTGACCCCATGAAACTTTTGGAAAGGGCTTGCCATCACTCAGCTTATTCACTGAGGGGAGCTCGGTGAAAAAACACGCCATACAAAACTTTCCCAGCCTTGCAGAATGGATCTGAACTGACTTTGCTTCCTAGTGGCAGAACCACTTGTGCCCTCCAGCATCTATCACATTTCTTAGGTAATCCCCTCTTCAGTAAATCATGTCAGTGTGGAGCAGCCCAGGCCTTAAGCCAGAGGCATGTCCCAAGTACTTTGTTGGCATGGTGCTGTTAGATTAATAAGACAGTGACCTATCTCTGCTGAAGTGTAACGGGAATAAAATAGCTCATAATCATGTGCAGGCAGGATCAATGCCCTGCATGCAGTCAGAACCTCTTCCTATTTTAATAAGGTGATTGGCAAAGTTACAAGCCTGGTAAACAAAAATCATTCAGGAGTGCTATAAACTTCAGCCCATAAAACATTATTTGAGGGATGGAAGTGTATATCAACGCTTTTATTACTCAAGGAAACCCAAACTGATAACACCAGTGCTAGCTCCAAAGCCCAGAAGTCAGGCTTCTTCTGATTTCTTCCTCTTTTTTGCTTAAATGTGCCTTAGAAATAGAGTTCAAAACTTTAACAAATGTTTTGCTGGTCTGCTTTTTAAAGCTGTGGTAACACTGCTGTTTTCAACCTTCCATATCATGTATTTATTTGATTTAAAAGCAGCAAAACTTAGATATATCTCTATGCTTATATGCAAGCCTAGCTACTGTGTGTTCTTCTTTATATATATTATACTTCCCAATCACTACCGTATGTTCATGCTATATACCAGACATGATAAAAAAAATCCACTATACTGATAATTCTATATTTATATGTTAAAATTTTGTATTGTAGATATCTAGCCTTCAGGCATTTGTAGCTGATGTATATATATATAAATATACATATATATATATGGAGAACAGCTATTTCTCGAAGACTCTGATCCCACTATGTCAGCAGAGCCACAGGTTCAGTTTCAGCGCTTCTAAACCTCTCTGTGTTTCCCTGAACCTTCCTTGCTCCTCTTTACCAAGCTCAAGATATGTTGGATGCTGTCATTCTTAGGGGAAGCAAGTGTAGTCAGACAGTGACACTAATGAGGTCAAGGAACTCTTTCAAGGCTTGGAGCTTGGCACAACTGAGCTCATGCCTTGGGGGAGCACTGGCTGCACGCATGGGCATCCTTCTTGCCTTTGGGAGCTGAAGTCTCCAGGTGCTGGTGTTGTTGGCCGTTTTCTCATGTTGCCGTGTGTAGGTTTGCCATGCTGACTGTGTTCTTTGTGTGATTTACATAGGTGAGAGTTGTGCTGGTGATAAAAGCCCTCCAGGGCAAGCCTCCTCTAAGCGAGCCCGTACAGCTTACACAAGTGCCCAGCTGGTAGAACTGGAAAAGGAGTTCCACTTCAATAGGTACCTTTGCAGGCCAAGAAGGGTAGAAATGGCTAATTTGCTCAATCTCACAGAAAGACAGATCAAAATCTGGTTTCAAAACCGCAGAATGAAATACAAAAAGGATCAAAAGGGAAAGGGTATGATGACCTCTTCAGGAGGACAGTCCCCAAGCAGAAGCCCCGTCCCTCCGGCTGCTGGGGGATATCTAAACTCTATGCATTCTTTAGTAAACAGTGTCCCCTACGAACCCCAGTCGCCTCCACCATTTAACAAGCCTCATCAAAACACCTATGGCATCCCTGCATCGTATACTGCTCCTCTTAATAATTGCCCACCTCCTCAAAAGAGATACACGGGGACAGCAGCTGTGACACCTGAATATGATACTCATCCTCTTCAAGGCAACGGTTATGGGAATCCACATATACAGGGAAGCCCCGTCTATGTAGGGGGCAACTACGTGGAGACCATGACCAATTCTGGGCCTTCCATCTTTGGTCTAACTCATCTCCCTCATCCTCCCTCTGCCAACATGGACTACAGCGGGGCTGGGCCGATGGCCAACAATCACCACCATGGACCTTGTGATCCACATCCAACATACACAGACCTTACCGCTCACCATCCTTCTCAGGGAAGAATTCAGGAAGCGCCCAAACTCACTCATCTGTAAGAGACAGGAGTCACTAAGAGGAACAGCAAGCCCCCAAGTTTTGGAAAGTACTCATCCCTTCCCTTCTCTCTCCTCCCCCCAACATGTGCCCTACCCTTCCCTTCTCGTTTCTTTTGTTCGTTTCGGTTTGTTTTGTTTCCTTTCGTAAAAGCGTTTTCTAGTTTATGTGACGTAGCAATATTTGTTGCTTGAATTGCTCTATAGTTTCACTAGTGGATATTTATCTTCTTGAACTGTAGCCTTGTGTCTCACTTTGGGAGTATGCAGAGGCTTTATACTTTACCTTCTACACTTTTATCAAAACAGGGTATATGAACAAATTTTCTATAAAAGGAATTCTTAAATGTGAATTTGTTCGTACATGATTGATCCCACGGGGAAGCAATTTTTTTTATTGCACTTCTTTTAAATAGCAAGAAAGACATCAAAAGCGCTTGGACAGGGACTTCCTGGACAATTATTGATACGTGTAAGTCTTTCAATGTGTGTATGCTGGTGAACATTCAGATTTATTTATATTTTTTTTTCGCAAACATTGAATAATCTAAGTGTTTAAAATTTTATTTATCCCCATTTGTTCATATTTATATATATATAAAAAAATCTGTACCCTGAATATTCAGGAGGCCATATATTAGATGGCATATCGGCACGTGTTAGAAATATCATTTGAAAGGAAACTATTAACTCCTTTTATTAAAAATAGTGATAATAATGATGATGACGATGCAATAAAACCTGGGAAAAAAGATCGCGGTTTGAATACTTTATGCTTGTAACATCCAGCTAGGCAAAAAGTGTGTGAAGCTGAAAAGGCTAGATTTGTTTTGAAAGTTATACATTCCTTGCTGCTCACGTTCTGGAAAAAAAAATAAAGTTTTTATTCTGAATAATAAAGAGTTAAGGACATGTTCTTCGCAGCTCAGGGGAATGGAGAGCCCTTCATGACGTGGGGAGCTAGGAAACTCGTCTGTAAACTTACACGAGGGTCTGCTCACCCCAAGGGCCCCGCGATGCCTTTTCAGCATTTCATAGGCAGGGAGAGAGATTTTTCTTTTCCCTTCTCTCTCTCTCTCGCTTTTTTTTTTTTTTTTTCCCTCCTTTCTTCCAGCAGGGTTTCAGGGCCCGCGGCCGCCGCCTCCTCCCGCACCCGCTGCGCGGTGCCCGGCGGGCGCGGATCGCCCCCTCCCCGCGGGGTCCGGGGGGGATCGGCCGCGGAGCAGCGCCGGGAGGACAGCCGGGGCTGTGGCTGTGGGTGTACGAGCGTGTGTGGGAAGCACAGGCGCCGGTGCTCAGGACGCAGCCCCGCGTGGGTGCGGAGGGGCCTCCTGGTCGCTGCGCTGAGCCGGGCGGTGGCGGCTGCGGAGCCCGGCCAGCGGAGCCGGGACAGCAGCGTCCGGCCCAGCCGCGAACGCGCTGCGGGTGAATGCGCGCACTGCTGCTCCTTCCACTCGCTAACCCCGCCGTTTTCCCCTTTTCCTTTAAGAAGTGGATTTTACCTTTTCCTTTCCCTATTTTTCCCCCGCCCCCGAATTATTATTTTTTAAAAATATTTTACTGGGACGGATTTAATTTTTGCTGAGCCGCCTTTCCTCTCACGGCAGCCTGAAGGTGTGGGGGAGGGGAGCGTTGTGTTCCGTTTCTGTGTGCGGGTGTGTGTTTGTGTCGGGGAGCGGCGGGGGGACACGGTACTGTAGAAGGGTGACGGTCCCTGCCCCCAGTGGGCACCCGTAGGCGTCCCCGGTCCGAATCGGCTCGAGGTAGAATGGAGAAACCCGCAAGCTTGTGCTTAAATCCGATTTTTTTTCCTTTCAGGCAAAATGTCCGTAATTTTTAGATTGAAACTTGAAAGATAAATCAAAACGGACCTTAATAGACTAGGTAAAATATAACCCTGCACGTTTATAAAGACATATTCCTATGCTGTGTAGATAATAACGCACGCTGTTCACCATCTGTATCTTTTAGAGCACAGAAAAAAAATGTCGCCATTTTGGTCTCATGCTGAAATATTATTAATCTTTGGGCTTTACCTTGTTCCCAGAACCATCCTTGCCTGATGCTGAAACATTGTCATGCATCCTTGAATCTATATAGAACTTTTCTGCATAAATAGATAAAGCATGCCCAGTCAAAGAAAAGGATAGCAAATAGATTTATACCGTGCTGTTTATTGTATATATAGACATGTAACCGTGGAAGGAAAGGCTATGTAGGCTAATATTTTTCACTGAAATCTGATTATTACACAATACAGACCAGCGACTGATTATTACTTTTGTAGGCGAAGGAAGCATTTTTGCAACATTGCAAGACAATGCTCGTTTCAAAGGAGCGCCCGTATAAAATTCCAGCCGCCCCCCCCCAGCTCTCGGATCAGTTAGGTTAGATACAACAAAAGGTAACGGTACAGTCACGATACTTACTGCGTGGTTCCTTTAGCACCACGAATTGCATTTAGGAAAATGTTCAAATAGAAGGAAGTTGCAGTTTCACCCCCCTCCCACCCCGAAGAAAGAAAAATACAGGCGATTTCCCCCCCCTTCTTTCCATAAACCGTATTCAATCCTCTCTTCAGAGCCTGTAGGTTGCAAATAAGAATTTGTAATTTTGCATTTAAGATTCGTCCGATTAAAAGATGCCCCTGGAGGCAGAAGTAATTGATTCTCCCAAGAATTTCGCGTCCTCTCTGCAAAGGTTTTGTTCCAGGTGGTTTTTGTATTAGGTTGACCACAAGAAACAAATGTGCAGAATAGAGACACCCACACAGGTTTTACTCACAAAGCCTGGTTAAAGTCCAAACCTCTCTCTTTATTATTTGTCATCCTGCTCTTAATCCCAATATTTTCCAGAGGGGGAAAAAAAAATCAGAGAAAAGAAAAGAAAACGTAGGCATCAAGAAGCAAAATAAAACCGGACTTTTCCCACAAGCAGCCCAGTCCTCTGCCAGCATATTTTAAAAGCAGCTTTTTTCCTTGTTTACTTGCGTTTCTTGCTCTGCCTCTTTTCACGGCCACATTTGATCTTGGAAAGAGCAAGAAGCTTTAAATGTGTTCTTAAGGGCCAGTAGCTGTCAAACCTTTTGGCGGCCAAGATTGATCGCGGGCAGACACCACCAGAGCTTTGTTTGGACTAAAAGCAAGAAAATTAAACCCCTTGCATTTTCCAGCAGCATCGATATTTGTAAGGCATCCCTTTTGAGGGATTAAATGACAAGTCTCGTTCTATATTTTATTTAAACAAGCAACCACCAAAAAGCCCATTTAAAGCCTCTCGGCCCCTCCCCTCCCCCTCTCTCCAATGCCTTCGCAGATATGCTATATCTTGTGGGTGCATTAACTTAAAACCGATTTTTAAAATGCACTTCGTGCAGACTGGACGCAGACTGATCCACTGAGTGCTTGGGTCTTGTTTTCTATTTCCCCTCCCTCCACCCCCCCCGTATTTTTTCTTTTTTTCTTTTTATTTTTTATTTTTTTCTTTTTCTTTTTTTTTTTTTTAATATAATTACGAAGACAGTTGCCGACTCCTGTTTGGCAACTCCGAAAATAAAGCGAGACGGCATCTCATCGCGCTGGCGATGGTTTCTGGCTCCTGGAGGACGCGGAGAGCGGCTCGGAAGCGCCTTCCCCCGGCCCCCGGCGCACCCCACCCCGCCGTGCACCCCGGGCTCCACGGGCAAGCAAGCCCCGTCCGGGCTGTCTAGGACGGCTGTGACCGTAGGATTCATCGGGTTGGTGATTGTGGCCATCATTGTCATCACTCTCCCTGTCGCCTCAGTATGGTTGGAAAATTATGCCAAAAGCATCCAAATTCGGGACTTGCCTCGACCTGGCAGGGGTGACTGGAGGCGGCGGCGGCAAGAGCCAAGCATCGGAGGCGGGTGCCGTCTCTCAAGTCAGAACCCCGCAGCACTTTCGCTCTGTCTGGCCCCCTGAAAACAAACCCGCTACCAGCCCATATATTTCCTGGTAATCGAAAATACTCACCAGACCCAGCCTACTACGGTTATTAAGCAAATTATGCCAGCAGACGGGAGTATCGTTTGCAAGCTAAGGCACGGGATATATACTTTTTTTTTTTTTTTTAAGAGGCAACAGCCAGACGCGTTTGCAGCCTCGAGATTTGGCTCGCCCAGAGAGGTTCTCCTAGGGTTATGTGTTACGGTCCAATCCCGGGAAGCCAACTGGAGAGGGAAGTCATGAAGCGCCCGGGCTGCTGCCTATGTGACTCTTCCCCTCGAAGCAAGGTTGCTGAGGAAGATCCTGATAAACAATGGCTCAGCACCGGCGACCGATTGTTCTCCATACTGTACACCCGATAGCCACCAAAAAGGAAGAAAAAAAAAAAAAAAAGAGGAAAAGAGGAAAAGGAAAAAATAAAGAAATAAATCAAACAAGAACACAAAGCCAAGCAAACAAACAAACAAAAAATACAATGGAGCCCATTGAGGCTGGGTCGGGAAGGAGAAACTAGTTTTGGAGGAAGTGCTATTCCTAGGAAAAAATCAAGACCTTCTGCTTCAGACTCCTGCCTGGGTGCAACTTCTTATTCGGGGGCCTGACGGTGTCAAAACTTTGAAGATTAATGGATTACTTTGTTAATGACTCAAGGCGTCAGATTGAGGTGCTTAAATGATTTGTGAGGTGCAAAGCGTTTTCCTGACAGTCCCAAACAATGAGAGAAGAGTGTGCGGGTGGATGCGAGGAAGGCAGCAGGCTGCAGGACAAGCAGCCACACACACACACACACAGAGACACACACACACACACACACACACACACGCACACTCTCGCAGCCTCTCTCAAACATATCCACGCACACACACCCTCCTCCCCACCCCCGATCATTTCAGATTAGGACGCCAAGGGGATAGATACTCGAGATATCATTTCCCCTTTTAAAAAAAAAGTGTAAATAAAGCCTTTCTGGCCCCCAATGAGGCGTTCCTTCCCGACTTTTTTGGATCAATCAAACAGACAGTGGCTTCTTTTGATTAAAGCCCAAATTGTCATTGGGCAGAGGCAATCATGTGACAGCCAATTCGGTCCAATTTCAACCTTGTCTCCATGAATTCAATAGTTTAATAGTAGCACGGTCCCCATACGGCTGTAATCAGTGAATTAGAAAAAAAACACCCCACCAGCGATCTTCTATGCTATATTTTTTTTCTCCTCTCTCTCCTTTTTCCTGGGCCTTCCCCTCCCCCCGAGGCCCCTGAATCCGAGGGAACTTTTTCTCCGCGGGGGCTGCCAGTTGAAGGCCATGAATTTCGCATTTGAGCGAGAGATCGGCTTTATCAATAGCCAGCCATCGCTTGCTGAGTGCCTGACATCTTTTCCCCCTGTCGGTGATACATTTCAAAGTTCATCAATCAAGAACTCGACGCTTTCACACTCGACACTGATTCCTCCTCCTTTCGAGCAGACCATCCCCAGCCTGAACCCCGGCAGCCACCCTCGCCACAGCGGCGGCGGTCGCCCCAAGGCGAGCCCCCGCGGCCGCAGCGGCAGCCCGGGCCCCGCCGGCGCCCCGCCGCCCCCGGAGTACCCCTGGATGAAAGAGAAAAAGGCGTCCAAGCGATCCGCGCTGCCGCCCGCTTCGGCCTCCGCCTCAGCCGCTGGACCTGCCTGCCTCAGCCACAAAGGTCAGTCCAAAGACGTGCCGCCAGCCCCGCCGGACCGCTATTTTGGCTCCCCGCATCCCCCCGGCTTCGCGGGGGGACGAGGCGGAGGTCGGGCGAGCGGGAAGGACGGAGCTGGAGGGGCTCGATGGAAACCCAAACTTTCCCCAAACTTGCCTAATGCGGGATGATTTATTTGAGTTGGAGCTGACCTCTCTTGTCTCGCCGTCCTAGAGTTAGGATATTTGACAGTAATGAAGAGTGATAGATTGCTCCCGCTCAGCTAAGCAGCTGATGCATTAATTATAAATTGCGGTATGGCTAATATAAAGTTTGCTCTGGTGTGGGGAGGTTGGGGAGCTGGAGGCAGCGATTTGGCGGAGGTGGCCGAGGGGCACGCAGCACCGGGCGCTCAGCAGTGCAACACAATGGGTTTACTGCATCCAAAGGCGGCCATTTTGTTGCAGTTGCTATTTTATGCTATATGGACATATAGATATAGACACATACATGCAGAGAGAGCACTCCCCCCCACCCCCCCGGGATGCGATGAGCTGGGGTGCTGAAATTCAATCCGTGCATTTATCTGTTTTGTATGTGTGTCCGTGTGCCTTTGCTTTGGCTCTTCGGGCGGTGATGCTTTGGGGTGCGTGTGGTGGTGGTGTTTTTCTTTTTTTTTTTTTCTTTCTTTTTTTTAACAGACCCCCTTGAAATCCCCGATAGCGGTAGCGGTGGATCTAGGCGCCTGAGGACGGCTTACACCAACACCCAGCTTTTGGAGCTAGAGAAAGAATTTCATTTCAACAAGTATCTCTGTAGACCAAGGAGGGTTGAGATTGCAGCCTTGCTGGATCTGACTGAGAGACAAGTCAAAGTCTGGTTCCAGAACAGGAGGATGAAGCACAAGAGACAGAC